CGCGGGCGAAGACAGTGATGGTCAACTAGCTTGTCCGGGCCAAAGGCTTCGCCAACGAGGCCGCCATCGAGTGTGCCGGCGCTTTCCCCGACCGCGGCGACGCGATCTTCGCCCCGGTCAGGTTGCCGAGGGGGGGGATCGACGCCTTGCCCAGTGTGCTGCCTGAACAGAACCGGGGGGCTCGCATGCCCAGAACGCCTTGACGCAGTGCGGTCTCGAGATCGAACATCCGTTCAAGCTCGAGGTCTCCTCCCAGGGCGAGGTGGCCCCGGATGCGTTGGCGACGCGTCGGCGAGAGCATCGGGGGAAGGGGATTCGTGGCGTGGAATCTCCGAGGGTTTTCTCGGGGTGGCGCTGGTGGGGCACTGCAGGGATTGTGCGCCGAATTCAAGTGGTCAGGGCTGTGTTTACAGGAGTGCAGCGACTCTTCCGCTGAGCTGCGAGATGGTTTTCACGACGTGGACGGGCTCGGTTGGTGGATTCAGGCAGCCGGGTGTTGCCCTTCATGGGGATCTTGCCCCGCTGGTGCACGGTGGCCCAATTTACTTCAAGAGGTCATTCGGAGTGTGTTTGAGGGTGGCGGGGGATGCTATATTGTTAAGGCTCAAAAGGCTTACGCCACATCCGCCGACCCCTCATCTTGGCGGTCTTGCCGGTTCGCTTGAATCGGGCTGGGGAGTCGTGTAGGGGTCCATAATGACCTCTCTTGGGGCCATGTGGAATCCTCCAACGTCGCACGCGATGCAAAAAAGGGCACCCTGATATGCAAGACCTGCAAATGATACCCAATCGGGGGCGCGCGTGCGGGGGGGGGCAGGGGGGGGGGAGAGAGGGATGGGGGGTGAGGCGGAGGATGGGGAGAGTCAGGATGACGACGAGGAAGAGTAATGAGAAGAAGAAAACGCGGCATTGCGATGCATGATGTTGCATCGTGCCTCCTGCTGCCGGTTAAGTAATATGCAGCGCAGCATGGCGACGAGGAAGAAAGAGAGTGTGACGAGCGTGCCAGGATTGGTATCGATCGTTCGCTGTTTCCCACTTTGTCTTTTTGCGTTAGGGTGCTGAGGGGGCGAGCCAGATGTTGCGGTCGACCAGAGGACTGGGGCTGCCCTGGGGCGGAACTGAATCCCGCGCAACCGCGGCAGCTGCAGGCAGTTGCAAACGTTCGCAACCAGATTCGACAACTTGCGACAAGGCAAACTTCTGTCGAAACTGGCGCACCAGCTGCGGATGCTTTGCCTGCGGGAGAGGCCGGACAGGTTGGCCAGTTTCTACTTTGACCAGGATCGCGCAGATAAGACATGCAGAGAGTGGCACTTGGCAAGGGCAAAAATCGAGTCCACGGGCGGCGGCGCGATCAGGTAGGAGGCAGTCATATGAACGCGGCGCGATCTTGCACAAGGCGTTGCGCGCATCTGGTGAGGGTGACCTTAGGCCGTACTGATATTTCAAAACGGAGGAAGATGGAAGATCTGGCGAATCTGCCGAATTTCTTTGCATGTGATTCGTGAATTTGCTTTCGAGAAAGATGAAACATGCTCGAGCCACGCCGCGGCTGTCTCAGAATGCTGCAACGTCTACCAGGAGACGCACTCGACGTCCTGGCTGTACATTTCAATGTGCGTGGGATAAACCATAGGTCTGGAGATGAAGACGGCGTTTAGGTTTGGTGCGTTTTACTTATTGGAGAAGGTTGCATTCGCGCTGCAGCAAGCAGATTCGTCGAGCGTGGATCTCGACCGCGGTCGCCAAAATTCACTGCGCGTTGATTGCGCGCCTCGTGGCGCTGCGGGGCCAAACTGCAGAGCGACCGGCAGTTTCTCCGGAAGGCGCGCCCCGGCTCCGAGATCATCTTCGCCGGCCGCGAGATCACGTAACGAGCACGTCGAGCGCGACGTGCGTTTTGCCCTGGCGGGCGGGGGCTCGCGGAAGGCGCGCGACTTTGTGGGGCGCGGGGGGGGTCGTCGAGAGCAGCGATGCAGGGGGCGTCCCGCGTGTTACCGCGGCCGCCAAGCTGCGAGAGATCCGCGGTGCCCAGCGGCCAGTCAAACGTCCAGGGGTCGGCCCTGCCCGGAGAATCCAGAGGGCGAGGGGCTCGATCCAGGGTCGCCTGGAAGCGCCGACGGAATTCAATTTGACTTTGGGTCGCGCAGTTGCGCGGAAATTCACGGCGACGGGCGCAGCGGAGTTCTTGTGGCCCGAGCGTAGACAACAAGACGCTGCAGGACCTTGAGTCGCTGGGTGGCCAAGGCCCCCCGCTGGCCAAAAAAGCTCGACGCGAGCTCGCGCGCGTCCCGTTGTTGGTTTTCGCAGGCGATTTTCTGTTGCTTGGCGCGTCGGTTGCGCAGATGTGGATTGCGACAAACGCGTAGAAACGATTGCTGTGGGAGGATGGGTGGTCGGTGGGCACGGGCGAAATCAGCTCGATTTCAACCGGGGTTGTTCCGGCCGGTCGCCATGCTGGAAAAACGCCCCGCTTGGCCAATTCAACCCCGAGATGGCCGCAGATCTTCGAGGGCATCCCGTAGTTGCGCATGTGAAGTATGCGGGCAAGGGCGAGGGCTCGTGGCGCGGAGGCGCCCGTGCGGCGCCGGATGCGCCGCTGGATATTTCGGGATTCGTAATTGGACGCGGCATCAAGGGCACGAGCGCGCAGAGAGTTGCGAATTGCATGTGAATGGTCGCCGCCTGTTTGAAGTTCTTGTGGCGCAAGTGGGGCTCGAAACGCGCGGGCATGGTGGTGTCGGGTAGGTCCACGACTTGGTTGGTCAGGTCGTGCGCTTTCAAAAGTGGGCGCCAGATTGGCACGCGCTGCGAGTTTTTTTTTTTTTTTTTTTTTTTTTTTTTTTTTTTTTTTTTTTTTTTTTTTTTTTTTTTTTTTTTTTTTTTTTTTTTTTTTGTTTTTTTTTGTTGTCATATATTATTTTTATTATTATTAATATTTTTATTTTTTGTTTTTCGAGAACTACTTTATTGAATCGCTTCGCTCACTCCGCCGGCCCATATTGCCTCCCCGCTGTCGTGGGGCGGCTGCCATGTCTTGGGGGCGTGGGAGCGCTTTGCTGTGCCTGGGTGGTGGGTCAGAAGCTTCGTGGATATTGGTTGGGCTCTCGTGGTTGGCCTCTCGGGGGCCTTTGGGAGGCAATTTTGAAGCCTCTTGGGGCCTCTTTGGGGCCTCTTGGGGCTTCCTGGGGGCGCCTCTTGGGAACCCCTTGGGGCCTTTTGGGTGCCTCTTGGGGCCTCCTGGGGGCCTCTTGGGGATTTTCGGTTCCTGCTCCTCTTCTTGTGCTCTTGTTGGGGCCGTCGTGGTGCCCTCTTGGGCCATATTGTAGTCCTCCTGGGCTCTCTCGGGCCCATCTTGGCGACGTGTTGGGCCGTGTGGAGACGATGTTGGAGGCCTCCGGGGCAGTTCTGGACGCTGTGAACCTCCAAACGTCGCACATGCGAAATTTTTACGTTTCCGAAGGGAATGAACATATTACACTTGGTAAAACCCCAATCAGTTGATGCTTTGGGAATTTGTCATATGGGTCTTGAGATCGATTGTGATATCGATAATTGGATCGATAGGACGATTGTAAGGTCGATCGTGAGACCGAGAGTGACATCGGTTCAATGAGATCGATGCGGAGATTGATCGCGAGATTGCTCGTGCGATCTGTAGTGAAATTGCTTGTCAGATCGATAGTGAGATCGATCGCGAGATCGATAGTGAGATCGATGGTGAGATCGATAGAACGGTGGGAAATGATATCGATGGTGAGACCGATCGATCAGAAGATCGACCAAGAAACCGGGAACCTGGGAACCTTGCCGCCCACCGAAATCGGCCTGGAACTTGGAACTGCGGACCCGGGAACCCGGAACAGGGAACCCGGGAGTCCAGCATGCGACCGAAATCGGCGGGAAACTTTAACCAAATCCTTCGCTCTCTGCTAGGACCCCTTCAGTGCAAGCGCTGATTGGGGAATTTTTGTTTATTGGGACCCTCTTGGAAAGCCTCGTGGGGGCTCTCTTTGGGTTTTTTCGCGGCTGCTGGGGCCATCCGGAGACCATCTTGAGCGTCTTGGAGCGATCTTTCGGCGACTCGGGGCCTCTTGGGCCGTCTAGGGGGCGTCCTGGCGCATTCTTGGCGCGCTCCTGGAGTGCCCCGGGGGTAGTCAGCTGGGCATCGGCCGGGGTGCTTTTCGTCCACGGGTCCCCAGGGGCCGCCACGCGCGCTCGAATAAAGAATGCGGTTGACCGGTTACGGGAGATCTTAGCACGCCACCGGCCCGGTGGGCCAGCGAATTTGAAACAGTTGGAATCATAACGCGGGCGCCGAGTTCACGACAGAGAACTCAGAGTGTGGAGGTGGGAGCAACATTTTGCGCGTTTTTATGTCCTGGGGTGGAAATCATTTTCGATCAGCTCAGAGACGTGGGCATAGCACAAGCACATTTGTCCGAGGCAGAGAAATACACGTACACCATACCATAATGTGAGCAGGGAAACGCCCGAACGTGACGCACCCGAGCGTGAAACAGAGTGGTCTAGGACATTTTCTTTGGTACCAGGCTGCGCACTGCATGACTTGCCGGTCCGCTGCTGTCGTCGTTGCCGCGGCCGCTGTGGCGGCGCCAATGGCGGCGGCTTCGGCAGGCCCCCGCTTCGACGGCCACAGCGGGGGAGGCCGCTGGCGATTACGCCTGGCGCTCCGAGGACGGCCAGGTCGAGGCGCCGTCGCCGTCGTCATCGGGTGGGGGGAGGAGGGGCGCACGGGGAGGGAAAGGGGGGGACAGGAAGGGGGACGATGAAGGGGCGGGACGAGAAGGGGGGGCAGGAGGACGGGGACGAGGAGGATGGGTGTGTGTGTGTGTGGGTGGGTGGGTGGGTGCATACGGTTGATACGAATGATAGGATTGAAATAATATTAATACTACCAACAGTAATATTAATAGTAATAATAGTGTGTCTAGTGATGGTAGTAGTAATAGTACTAGTACTAGTAATAGTAAGAGTAATAGTAATAGTAATATTAGTAGTGATAGTGATATTGATAGTAATAGTAATAGTAATAGTAATAGTAATAGTAATAGTAATAGTACTAGTAATAGTAATAGTAATAGTAATAGTAATAGTAATAGTCATAGTCATAGTACTAGTACTAGTACTAGTACTAGTAATAGTAATAGTAATAGTAATAGTACTAGTACTAGTAATAGTAATAGTAATAATAATAGTAATAGTAAGAGTAGGAGTAGTAGTAATAGTACTAGCATTCGTACTAGTAATCGTAAGTTTCATCGTAATCGTAATTGGAATAGTACTAGTCATCGTAATAGCAATAGTATTCGTAAATGTAATAAAATCGTAGTAGTAGTAATACCATTAGTGATAGTAATGGTACTAGTAGTAATCGTAGTAGTAGCAGTAGTAGTAGTAGTAGTAGTACTCCTAGAAATAGTATTGCTATGGTACGAGTCTTCGTATTACTAATACCGTTCGTAATCGTCTTAGTAATAGAAGATGACAGAGATATTGAAATAAGCGTTGTAGTATTCGTAGTAATAGTAATAGTAAAGTACGAGTACTAGCAATCGTAATCGTGTTGGTAAGAGAACAATGCAGATTGATAGTGAACTCAATAGGAGTCGTCGTATTCAGAGTCTTAGTTACAGTTGTAGCAAGAGTATACGTAATAGTAATAGTATTCGGAGTTGTTGTAGTAGTATTAGTACTATGAAAAGTGATAATAAGAACAGTAATAGTTATAGTGATAGTGATAGTACTAGTAATCGTAGTCGTAACAGTAATACTAACACTTATAGTTTTTGTAGTAGTAGTAGTAATCGTAATCGTAATCGTAAGAGTAATATTAGTAATGTTGTAAATGTAAATGTAATAGTAATACTAATAGTAACAGTAATTTTAATAGTAATATTAATAGTAATAGTAATAGTAATAATATCAGTATTAGTCATAGTCATAGTCATAGTCATAGTCACAGTCACAGTCATAGTCATAGTCATAGTCATAGTCATAGTCATAGTCATAGTCATAGTCATAGTCATAGTCATAGTCATAGTCATAGTCATAGTCATAGTCATAGTCATAGTCATAGTCATAGTCGTAGTCATAGTCATAGTCATACTCATAGTCATCGTCATAGTCGTAGTCATAGTCTTGGTAATAGTATTTGTAACAGTATTATCAGTAGTTTTTAGTGATAGTAGTCGTATCAGTAATCGTAACAGTAATAAAACTAGTACTAGTACTAGTACTGGTACTAGTACTAGTACTAATACTAGTACTAGTGTTAGTGGTAATAGTAGTAATGGTAGTAGTCATATCCATAGTCATAGTCATAGTCATAGTAATCGTAATCGTATCAGTAGTAGTAATAGTAATCGTACGAGTAACAGTCATAGTCGTAGTCATAGTTTTAGTATTAGTATGAGTATCAGTATTAGCATTAGTAGGAGTATCAGTATTAGTAATTGAAGTAGTAACGGTGTAATATCAATAGTAATATTAGCAGTGATAGTAATAGTAAGTTTCGTAGTTATCGTATTCGTAATAGGAATAGAATTAATAATACTAGTATCAGTATCAGTAATAAGAATATTATAGTAATATTCCATGCGATCAAACCTACACTTACTAATTCATACGAATGTTAACACTACAACGAATAATCCAGTAATAATAATCATAATGCTACAAGTCATATCAATAGTAGTTGTCATACAATCCGTACTAGTAGTAGCATTATGAGGACTCGTACTACTCGTAAGTGCGACCGCTAGTACGAATATTAGGAATCATGATAGTCACACTAATAGCAATATTTGTAGTCGTGATAATACTAATGCTATTCATTCTTGTTTTGGTAGTGGTAGTAGTAGTAGTAGTAGTAGTAGTAGTAGGAGTAGTAGTAGAAGTAAAAGTAGAAGTATAAGTAGAAGTAGAAGTAGAAGTATTATTAGTAGTAGTAGTAGTAGTAGTAGTAGTAGTAGTAGGCTACTACTACTACTACTACTCCTACTACTACTACTACTACTACTACTACTACTACTACTACTACTACTAAGTACTACTACTAGTAGTACTCGTAATCATATTGCGAAGGCCTTACGGCCGGTGCCGCTGGCCCTGGAGGGCGACCCGTGCGTTCTCTAATGTGGCGGGGGGGCCTCTTGGGGCTTCCTGGGGGCCTCTTGGGGGTCTCGTGGTGGCCTCTTGGGGGCATCTTGGGGCTTCCTGGGAGCCTCTGTCGCCGAGGGCTCGTCGGGCCCCCCGTCTGGGCACCCTGTTGGAGCCGTTTGGGGAGCCTCTGGGGCCATCTTGGAGGCATCTTGGGCGGTCTTGAGGCTCTCTTGGGTCATTTTGGGGCTCTCTTGAGGCCTCTTGGGCTATCTTGGGGCAATCTTGGGGCATCTGGGGCCGTCTTGGAGCGTCGGCAAGTTGAAACGGCGAGAACGCCAAAATCTGTCAAAAACTTGAAGGAAATCATTGATTTTTCCCTCTTCGTGCCCTCTTGGGAGTGCTCTTGGAGACTTCTCGGAGCGTCTTGGCAGTCTCTTGGGCCGTCTGGAGGCTACTTTGGCGTCTTCGATCGATGGTTCGGCGATTCGGGGCCTTAGAAGCCTCTTGGGGCACTCTTGGCCAGTCTGGGGGCTTTTCTAGGTCCCGGGACATCCCGGGGGGGATGCGTATCTGCCCCTTCCCCCCGGGACCCCCCCCGGCGGGCTCCCCCCCCCCCGGCGGGGAAGGGATCAAAGGGAAGGGGCTTCTCTTCGACTCAGCTACGACGTTGCTCAATTTCGCTTTGCCTTCGACTCAGCTACGACGTTGCTCGATTTCGCTTTGGTTTCGCTTTGGCCGGCGCGCCTGAGGGGAGGGCGACGACGACTACGACCGCGACGACGTCGACGACGACGACGACGACGACGAACGGAAGAGCATCGACGACGACGACGACGACGACGACGGCGACGACGACGACGGCGACGACGACGACGACGACGTCGACGACGACGACGACGAAGACGACGACGTTCACGACGAACGGAAAAGCATCTTCTACACGCCGACAGGGTCGGCGGATTCAGAATAATACTACCAAATATGATACTGATGTTCATACTAAGACTATTAATTATAGTAGCGGAGACATCCTCGCGGTGCTCCTTTCTGCCGATTGCCTTTCTTACTAATCTCTCTCGTGCTCCATCCTTCTCCCACCGTTTGATTTTATTCGTTCTCCCGTCCTTCCCGTGTTTTAGGGGGTGCACCAATTACACGTGGCAGTCAAGGGATTTTTGATCTCGGGCCCCGGGCTCACGGCCCCCCCCGCCCCCCCAGATGGTATGGTCCCAAGGTCCTTCGGCCCCCCACCCCCCCAGATGTGATGGGTGGTGGGATGACGACGACGACGAAGACGACGACGACCACGACGAAGACAACGTCCGCTCCGGCTTCCTGAAGCATTGCAACACCACGCCACACCCAGAGGGAGGCGACGACTGGGAAGACACCGTCGACGACGATGTTCCTTTTCCTCCCTCCGTCCGCCTCCCCTTTCCCTCCTCCTCGTTCCTTGGCCCTTTCTTCCCTACCTCCTACCTTGCTCCCCCCTCTCACTTCCTCTCCCCATGTATCCGCCACTCTCCGGAGGCAGAGGACGACGACGATGGCGAAGACGCCGACGATGATGGATTTTCTCGGAGAGCATCGGTAACCTCGGAACGAGGGCAATTCAGCGGTGATCCGGCGCGAGAGCCCAAGCCGCTGTCCTCGTGCAGGAGCCGCGTGCATGAACCAGTAGGGTTGCACGCCCCTAAGACAAACGGAGAAGGGGAAGGAGAACAATTGAGAAAGGAAACTGTGTTATTGTACAACGCGCTGGCTCGTTAATCACGCACTTCCGTCCTCGCGGTCGGTTGCGTCTGAATTACCACGGCCCTCACACAGACAGCAGGGCACGCGCTTCGGCCGTGCCAGCTTAGCTAAACTAGGGCCCATGTTCTCGCGCGAAAGCTCCGTGAGCCACCACATAAGCTTGCGCGCCTGTAAAGCTCGCGAAGAAGTGGGAGATGAGGAGTAGAGGCAAGGGGAAGCGGACAGCATGCGTAAGACTTACAATTATCCCGGCAAAGCAACCTAACAGCGATGTGTAGGAGCATATCTGGAAGCATTCCCCTTAAGATTGAGATGAGAATCCAGTTGTAGAATTCTGCTGTTCTCGCAGTCGTAGTCGCATTCGCGATGACAGTTGCAGTGGCAACGGCAGTCGCAGTCACAGCCTCAGCCTCAGCCTGCCTCAGCCTCAGCCTCAGCCTGCCTCAGCCTCAGCCTGCCTCAGCCTCAGCCTCAGCCTGCTTCAGCCTCAGCATCAGTCTGCCTTCAGCCTCGGCCTCAGCCTCAGCCTGCCTCAGCCTCAGCCCTGCATCAGCCTCAGCCTCAGCCTCAGCCTGCCTCAGCATCAGCCTGCCTCAGCCTCAGCCTCAGCCTGCCTCAGCCTCAGACTCAGCCTGCATCAGCCTCAGCCTCAGTCTGCCGTCGGCCTCGGCCTCAGCCTCAGCCTGCCTCAGCCTCAGCCTGCATCAGCCTCAGCCTCAGCCTCAGCCTGCCTCAGCATCAGCCTGCATCAGCCTCAGCCTCAGCCTGCCTCAGCCTCATCCTCAGCCTGCTTCAGCCTGCCTCAGCCTCCGCCTGCCTCAGCCTCAGCCTCAGCCTGCCTTCAGCCTCGGCTTCAGCCTCAGCCTGCCTCAGCCTCAGCCTGCCTCAGCCTCAGCATCAGCCTGCCTCAGCATTCAAAATGTGGCCCTGGAATGGAGTTCTGGGAACTCGAAGAACACGAAGTGGCCTACAGTTGGCTCTGGGCATTCAAAATCATGCCCAGGAATGGAGTTCTGGGAACTCGAAGACCACGAAGTGGCCTACAGTTGGCTCCGGGCATTTCAAATCATGCCCAGGAATGGAGTTCTGGGAACTCGAAGAAGATGAAGTGGCCTACAATTGGCTCCGGGCATTCAAAATCATGCCCAGGAATGGAGTTCTGGGAACTCGAAGACTACGAAGTGCGTTACTGTTGGCTAAAAAAGAGTTCCGGCATCCTCCCCCGGATCGCGCCCAGACCCCCCTGGGGCGTCAAGATGCTCTTTTTTGACCCTACTAGAAACCTATCAGCCTTCGCTGTTAGATAAAAACAGCAACGAAGCACAAGCAGCACAAACGAAAGCCTAGGCCATGTGGCTCGAAGGCAAGCCGAAGCCTGTACACGACGAAGTCGACGACGAAGACGACGACGACGACGACGACGGCGGTGGCGGCGGCGACGGCGACTCCTTGGCTGAGGCAGACCCCCTAACCACCGCACGCCCACAGGGGGTACCCCACACCGCACCCACAGGGCGGGGGCACCACGCCACGCCCACAGGGGGGGAGGATCATCTCGCGGGGGAGGGGGTGGGGCGATGGCATTAGCATTGGGGGGGTGGGCCAGACCCTGGACCATACATACCCCAAGGGGGTAAGATGGAAAACAAAGTGGGGATCGAGGGTTGGGGACATACATGTCGAGTGGTACGCGAGCAGATAAGAACGAATAATCGTTAAAGTTAGGCCCGGGATGTGCTGGGGGGTTGTTGGTGTCAAAAATATTTGGGGACGTCTTAGATCCCGCAGGATTCCGGAGGTTTCCCGAAGATTCTTCCAGAATTCCGCAGGATTCCTCAAGATCGCTCTACGATCGCCACGCAAACCGCCCCATTGCCAGCCTCCGACTGGGTTCGACCGGCCTCGCCCCCCAGAGGCCCTCCTGCGCCTCCGCGAGAACGGCCAGTGGTGGCATGCCGTCCACCGCCAGGCGAGGGAGCGCGGACGCGTCGTGCACCGCGGCGAGTCCCAGCCCGAGCCCAACCGGCAGGAAGTCACCACCAACCAAACCACCCCATCCCAACCCGAAGGCTTCAATTTGCCCTCCATTTCCAGTGGGGGGTGGATCGGGGAACATTGAAAAAACACATGGTCCCCGTACCCCCCCAACCCGAAATTCGGGTCAAATTCGTGTCTTCGGGTTGGGTTGGGTTGGTCTGGTAGGTTGTCAGGAAGAGAACAACGTGTGGCGCGCGTACAAGGAGAGAAGGGAGGAGGACCCTGAGATCCGTGCGCTGCATTTTATTCACACTGGGCGGTGTCGCTCGGTTTCGGGTCCCGCGACCATCGCACATGGATCGTGCGCGAAAGATGCCGCAGAATGATGGTGTCTAGGGATATGCTGATTCTTTGCGATGTTGCAAGTGTTGGTAACGTCGGATCTCAGTGGATGATAAGGACCAGGAGGGGGATGATGGGGACGAGGGGGAGGAGGGGAGGGGGAACTGAACCGGGGTCCATCCTGAGGCAATCGTGGGTCACCCTGGGGGAGAAAACATGGGACAGGCAAGCAGCATTGCACACGCATTCATGACTGCGCCGCATGTTTTTTTGCTCTCACGGGGGTGTCTTGCCCCTCCTGGGCCATTGTAGGGGCATCCTGGGGTCCTTCGGCCGTCTTGAGCTTTTGAGGCCCTCTCGAGCCCTGCTGGCCGTCTGGTGTCGTCCCTGTAGGAGTCCAGTGGCAGGCCAGCGCGGCAGGAAGGACACATTTTTCTTCAGCGGCTGGGTGAGAACACCGCAGCGAGAACTTCAGACGGGGCGCGCTTACCATAGTTACCATCTGACGTTGCAGATGGGGGGTCTGGACGAAGGCAGACGCATACAAAAAACACGCGAGAACGCTGGTGCACGTAGATTATCCCGGCAAAGCAACCTAACAGCGATGTGGAGGGTGTAGGAGCATATCTGGAAGCATTCCCCTTAAGATTCAGATGAGAATCCAGTTGTAGAATTCTGCTGTTCTCGCACTCTTAGTCGCATTCGCGATGACAGTCGCAGTGGCAACGGCAGTCGCATCACAGCCTCAGCCTCAGCCTGCCTCAGCCTCAGCCTCAGCCTGCCTCAGCATCAGCCTGCCTCAGCCTCAGCCTCAGCCTGCTTCAGCCTCAGCATCAGTCTGCCTTCAGCCTCGGCCTCAGCCTCAGCCTGCCTCAGCCTCACCCTGCCTCAGCCTCAGCCTCAGCCTCAGCCTGCCTCAGCATCAGCCTGCCTCAGCCTCAGCCTCAGCCTGCCTCAGCCTCAGCCTCAGCCTGCTTCAGCCTCAGCCTCAGTCTGCCTTCAGCCTCAGCGTCAGCCTGCCTCAGCCTCAGCCTGCCATCAGCCTCAGCCTCAGCCTCAGCCTGCCTCAGCATCAGCCTGCCTCAGCCTCAGCCTCAGCCTGCCTCAGCCTCAGCCTCAGCCTCAGCCTGCTTCAGCCTCAGCCTCAGTCTGCCTTCAGCCTCGGCCTCAGCCTCAGCCTGCCTCAGCCTCAGCCTGCATCAGCCTCAGCCTCAGCCTCAGCCTGCCTCAGCATCAGCCTGCCTCAGCCTCAGCCTCAGCCTGCCTCAGCCTCAGCCTCAGCCTGCTTCAGCCTCAGCCTCAGTCTGCCTTCAGCTCGGCCTCAGCCTCAGCCTGCCTCAGCCTCAGCCAGCCTTCAGCCTGCATCAGCCTCAGCCTCAGCCTCAGCCTCAGCATCAAGCATCAGCCTGCCTCAGCCTCAGCCTGCCTCAGCCTGCCTCAGCCTCAGCCTCAGCCTGCCTCAGCTAGCCTCAGCAGCCTCAGTCTGCCTTCAGCCTCGGCCTCAGCCTCAGCCTGCCTCAGCCTCAGCCTGCATCAGCCTCAGCCTCAGCCTCAGCCTGCCTCAGCATCAGCCTGCCTCAGCCTCAGCCTCAGCCTGCCTCAGCCTCAGCCTCAGCCTGCTTCAGCCTCAGCCTCAGTCTGCCTTCAGCCTCGGCCTCAGCCTCAGCCTGCCTCAGCCTCAGCCTGCATCAGCCTCAGCCTCAGCCTCAGCCTCAGCCTGCCTCAGCATCAGCCTGCCTCAGCCTCAGCCTCAGCCTGCCTCAGCCTCAGCCTCAGCCTGCTTCAGCCTCAGCCTCAGTCTGCCTCAGCCTCGGCCTCAGCCTCAGCCTGCCTCAGCCTCAGCCTGCATCAGCCTCAGCCTCAGCCTCAGCCTGCCTCAGCATCAGCCTGCCTCAGCCTCAGCCTCAGCCTGCCTCAGCCTCAGCCTCAGCCTCAGCCTGCTTCAGCCTCAGCCTCAGTCTGCCTCAGCCCAGCCTCGGCCTCAGCCTCAGCCTGCCTCAGCCTCAGCCTGCATCAGCCTCAGCCTCAGCCTCAGCCTGCCTCAGCATCAGCCTGCCTCAGCCTCAGCCTCAGCCTGCCTCAGCCTCAGCCTCAGCCTGCTTCAGCCTCAGCCTCAGTCTGCTTTCAGCCTCGGCCTCAGCCTCAGCCTGCCTCAACCTCAGCCTGCCTCAGCCTCAGCATCAGCCTGCCTCGGCCTTCAAAATGTGGCCCGGGAATAGAGTTCTGGGAACTCGAAGAACATTAAGTGGCCTACAGTTGGCTCCGGGCATTCAGAATCATGCCCAGGAATGGAGTTCTGTGAACTCGAAGACCACGAAGTGGCCTACAGTTGGCTCCGGGCATTCAAAATGTGGCCGGGGAATGGAGTTCTGGGAACTCGAAGAGCACGAAGTGGTCTACAGTTGGCTCCGGGCATTCAGATGTGGCCCGGGAATGGAGTTCTGGGAATTCGAAGACCACGAAGTGGCCTACAGTTGGCTCCGGGCATTCAAAATCATGCCCAGGAATGGAATTCTGGGACCTCGGAGACCACGAAGTGTGTAACTGTTTGCTTAAAACGACTTCCGCGGGTTCTCCCCGGCACCCGCCCAGACCCCCTCTGGGGAGTCATGATGCTCTCTTTTGACCCTAGTAGAAACCTATCAGTCTTCGCTGTTAGGTAAAAAATGACGGGCCGCTCCGAGAAGACGCGCAGCTGTCTCCCTCCACCTCGCTGCCGGGAACGTAGCGGCTCTTCCCCGCGGGGGCGGCCGAGGCCCTGCGCACCCGCTCCGCGTACCGCTGCGCGAATTCCTTGTGCTGCGCAGAGAGAGAGAGAGAGAGGCTGGGACACAAGCTCCTTGTAGGCGACAAGGCGCCGCAGGATTGCCTTGGTCCGGATGCCATTCTCGAGCATGAGCCTCTTCAGCGAACCCTTCCATGGGGTTTGGAAGATCCTCCGCCTCCGCGATGCGAGCCGCTGCTCTGGCATCGCTCTGCGCCTGCTGGAGGGCCTGGAGCTCGGCCTCCTGCTCCGGGGAGAATTGCTTCGCCTTTCGTGCTCTCTGGGCTCTCTCGGCCAGCTGCCGCTCTGCGAGGCCACGCTCGGCATTCTCCTTCGGGTAGCGGCCGAGGTCTCGCACCTGCTGCAGGATGTCGTCGGTTTTCTACTGCAGGAGCTCTTCGGTCTCCGTCTTCGCCTGCTTCAGGGCCTGGAGCTCGACCTCCTCCTCTGGCGAGAACTGCTTCGCCTTCCGTGCGTCGCGGAGTTTCCGCGCCAACTGCCGCTCTGCGAGGCTACGCTCGGCATGCTCCCTCGGGTACCGGCCGAGGTCCCGCACCTGCTGCATGAGGTCGTCGGTCTTCTGTCTCCGCTTGAGGTCTGCCTTCTGCTGCGCCTTCTGCTTGGCGAGAGCTCCTGCTCCCGCTGACACAGCAGGCTGAGAAGCACCGCTGCCTGCCGCAGCAGTCAGAGAAGCACCACCGCCGCCTGCATCCACCCTGACGGCGCTGGCGCTGGCTTGCGCCTGTCTGCTGGCGCCGGCGCGCGGAGCTGCGCCTCCTGCTGCGAGCTCAGCGTCCCTGCTTTCCGTGCTCTGATGAGACCCGTGGCAAGCCGCTCCTCCTCCGCCCTCGAACGGCCCGATTGGGTAGGCAGGTGGCCAAGCTGCAGAATCGCATTGACGAGTTCCTGCGTGGCGGGCTGAGAAGCACCACCATCACCACCGGCCAATGCGGCTCGCAAGCGGTCGCCGCCACTGCCACGGACAGCTCCGCCTGACGCGTGAGTGACGTCCATGGCTTGAGCTGGCGGGTTTTGCTTGAGCCTACGTCCTTAACCTGAGCCGAGTGGCACTGGGGGAGGAAGAGGAGGCGGAGGAGGATCGAGGAGGAGGATCAAGGAGGATGATCGAAGAGGTGGTCAGAACGCGCCCTGGCCAGGGCGCCCCCCCCGGTGACCGCTTCTCGCGGCGAGGGGGGGCGCCCCAGAGATTTGCGGAGGTGGTCAGAACGCGCCCTGGCCAGAGCGCCCCCCCGTGACCGCTTTTCGCGGCGGGGGGGGCGCTCCAGAATCCAGAGGGGGAGACGCAACGCGCCCCTCCAGGATGCTCCCCGTGACCGCTGCTTGCGGCGGGGGGGGCGCCCTGGAGGGGCGTGCGTCGTCGCCGTCGTCGCCGTCATGACGGCGACGACGGCGACGACGCCTACAGTTGGCTCCGGGCATTCAAAATCATGCCCAGGAATGGGGTTCTGGGAACTCGAAGAACACGAAGTGGCCTATTGGTTCTGGGCATTCAAAATCATGCCCAGGAGTCGAGCTCTGGGAACTCGAGGACTACGAAGTGGCCTACAAATGGCTCCGGGCATTCAAAATTATGCCCGGGAGTGGAGTTCTGGGAACTCGAAGACCACGAAGTGGTTTACAATTGGCTCCGGGCATTCAAAATCATGCCCAGGAACGGAATTCTGCGAACTCGAAGACCACGAAGTGGCCTACAGTTAGCTCCGGGCATTCAAAATCATGCCCAGGAATGGAGTTCTGGGACTTCGAAGACCACGAAATGCGTTACTGTTGGTTAAAAAAAGGGTCCCCGGCACCCGTCCGGATCCCGCCCAGACCCCTTCTGGGGAGTCATGATGCTCTCTTTCGACCCTAGTAGAAACCTATCAGTCTTCGCTGTTAGGTAAAAATCCAAGCCAATAGATACACATATGGGGATCACCGCGTCGAGTAAGTTCTGTTTTGAGCCAAGCACGCTTTAAGCCTAGCGTATGCTTCGAGGTGGGAAAGAGAGAACGAGAGGGGCAGATGGGATCGAGAGCTCCTGGAGGGTGTGTGTGTGTGTGTGTGTGTGCGTGCCCATCCGAGGGAACGGTGCACCCCCCCCCCCTCAGTAGTGGCGACGAGGATTATGTTGTTTAGGGACGCAGGAAGACCCCCCCCCTATCCCCCCCGCGACCTGAGTGGACCACCCAGGCCTGCGGAGGACGTCATAAAGGGTCGGGTACCCCGTACATCGATGAAAGAAGAAAAAGGGAAGGGAGGAAGGAGTAAGGAGCCTCCCTCCTCCTGCTCCTCCTGCTCCTTCGCGGATGGCGTACCCGTGCCACCTCCGCCGCGTGCGAGACAACTCTCAATGCACAAGGTCAGTCAGCTCTGAGGCACGCTACGCACTGCAAAGAATCGGCTACGCAACGTAACCACTGGAATAATCATACCGCATAGACCACCTTCCGGGTGATAGGGAGGTGAGGGGGGGGGAGGGACCACCGTCGCACTCGATCGCTATCGATCTCATTATCGATCTCAGTATCGATCTCACAGTCGATATTGCTATCGATCTCACAATCGATCTCACAATCGATCTCACAGTCGATCTCACATTCGGTTTCACTATCGATCTCACTATCGACACCACAACCGACCTCACAATCGATCGCACATTCGGTCTCACTATCGATATCACTATCGATATCACTATCGATCACATTCGATCGATATCACAATCGATCTCACTATCGATTTCACGATCGATCTCACATTCGGTCTTAATATCGATCTTACTATCGATATCGCAGTCGATCTCACAATCGATCTGACTATCGATCTCACTATCGAACTCACTGTCGAAGTCAGTATCGATCTCTCGTTCGGTCTCACGATCGATCTCATTATCGATATCACAATGAATCTCACAATCGATCTCACATTTGGTCTCACTATCGATATCACAATCGAACGCATTATCGATTTCATGATCGATCTCACAATCGGTCTAACTATCGATATCACTATCGATATGATATCATCATCATCATCACCTCTCACCATCATCATCTGCATCATCATCGGGACACCACCATCATCATCGGGACACCATCACCATGATCATTCGCAACATCATCATCATCACCATCATCAGCATATTCGGGACACCACCATCACCAACGGGACACCAGCGGGACACCGGCGGGACACCGCGGGCCCCCGGCCGCCCGGAAGGGAGACATTTGGTCCGACCGCGCCTCAGCCACACGGGACACCAGCGGGACACCAGCGGGACACCGCGGGCCCCTGGCCGCCCGGAAGGGAGACATTTGGTCCGGCCGCGCCTCAGCCACAGGAGACTTTCCTCTCGCCCGCCCACGCAGCTTCGCCTCGCCCGCACGCACGGCACGCACGAACACGAAACCGAAATCGATTTCCCGGTAAGGGGGCTCTCCGTTCCACTTCGATCTCACCCCCTCACCTCCGATAAATGTAACCGTATACCTCGCCGCCAACCGAAAAGAAACATCGAATCCATGAAGGCTGATGGGATGGCATGTGGTCAAACGGCATACCAAAATACCGCATGCTTTGCAAGCCGATGAAAAAGAGAACAAGACAGCAAACGGGTAGCAGGGGATAAGACGGGGACATCGGGCAAGCAAAATGTGGTACAGGAGTGGTGTTCTGGGAACACGAAGAACACGAAGTGGCCTACAGTTGGCTCCGGGCATTCAAAATCATGCCCTGGAATGGAGTTCTGGGAACACGAAGAACACGAAGTGGCCTACAGTTGGCTCCAGGCATTCAAAATCATGCCCAGGAATGGAGTTCTGGGAACACGAAGAACACGAAGTGGCCTACAGTTGGCTCCGGGCATTCAAAATGTGGCCCGGGAGTGGTGTTCTGGGAATTCGAAGACCACGAAGTGGCCTACAGTTGGCTCCGGGCATTCAAACTCATGCCCTGGAATGCATTTCTGGGACCTCGAAGACCACGAAGTGCGTAATTGTTTGCTTAAATAGACTTCCGCGGCTTCTCCCCGGATCTTGCCCAAACCCTCCTGGGGCGTCAAGATGCTTTTTTTTGACCCCAATAGAAACCTATCTCTCTTCGCTGTTAGGTAAAAGCGCTAAGTGAAACCACGCAGGTGCTGAAGACACGAATGCAAGAACAAGTAACTAGTGCACGCAGCCCACTTGAGGGTGCGCCGCTGCATTTGATTGCAGGTCTTGAGACCAGGGAGTGAATGAGGGGGAGACGAACGCTGCGCATGCCGGCTTGAGGGCTGCGTGAAAATCCGACCAAACCTTTCCCCGCGTCCGAATGGCGGTGCGTGCGAGGTCCGAGGAAAGTCTGCGGCCAGACCGGCTGTAAGTGGTGGCGCCAGAGCAAGATGCGCGCCAGGTCCGGCCAAACAGGGCATCGCGCGGCGGGAGCGTCGGCGCCCCAGGCTAGCAGCGGCGGCCCCGGCAGCTCGAGGACCTTTGATTCCCGCCACTCCGGAGCGAGTGGTGTACGGCAAGGCGGGTCCCGTGGAGCCGCCGAGCTGTACCCGAGCAGCCGCGTGGTGGCGAGGGGAATCGAGCGAAGCACACTCGAGCTTCAGGCGTGGCCGAGGCCCTGGTACCTGCGGCGGGGGGCGGCGTCGACGTGGGCCGCACCAGCGAGGGGCCCTCCATGTGGTAAGTCGCACCACCCTGGCTGGGTCAGGCGTACAAGTGCCGCGGGTGAAAGACGGCCATGCCACAGGGAAAGCATGCTTAGAGCCCCCTGGGTGGACTGCTCGACACGTGGACGCACCAGGAAACTATACACTCCGAAGAATTATGCACACACACAGGTGTTTTTTGTGTGCGCCGCGAGCCCCCACGTGAACAGTAGAAGAGAGACAATATTGTAGAGACAAGAGGCAATCGAGTCATCACAGAGACAACAAAACGGCAGCCCAGCCGGAGCTTTTACAGCCTTGCGCCCTCAAGGGGTGTGGCGACTGAAGACGCTGCTTCTGATGCTGGTCCTGATGCTGGTGCTGATGCTGCTAATTATGATGGTGGTTATGATGATGATGATGATGATGATGATGATGATGATGATGATGATGATGATGATGATGATGATGATGATAAGTGATGAATGATGAGTGAAGAGGATGAATGGTGAATGCTGGTGATGATGCCGCTGATGCTGAAAATGATGATGCTGATGATGATGGCGATGAACGAGGACGATGAACGGTGACGAGGACGATGACGATGACGACGACGACGATGATGATGATGATGATGCTGATGCTGATGCTGATGAGGATGAGGATGAGGATGAGGATGATGATTATCAGGATGATGATGCTACTGATCATGATTATGATGTTGATGGTGGTGGTGATGGTGATGGTGGGGGTGGTGATGGTGATGATACTTACGATGATGTTGAGGATTAGGATGAGGATGATGAGAGTGATGAAGATGATGAGGATGATGAGAAAGGGCAGGAGGAAGGAGGTTGAGGAGGAGGAGGAGGAGGAGGAGGAGGAGGAGGAGATTCCATGAAGGACGATGAGGGGCAGGCAGGGCGAGGGGCGAGGACTTCTCGCGGGGGGCCACCGACTCCGCCTCCGACGAGGCCCAGCGCCGGCGATTCTTCGGGGAGTACGAGGACGTCTCGGTGTGGGAGATCGTCGAGGCCCTTGGCTGCTGGCAGCAGGTGCCTCCTCGCTCCTTTCCATTCTTCTTCCCTGACGTCCTGGCGTTGCATTTTTTTACGCAGGGCGTGTTCACCGACGGTCTCCAGGACCATCACAGATTGATCGGGCTCGAAAGATGCCGCAGCAAGATGGGGTCTAGGCATCAGTTAGTGATGTTTCGCGATGTTGCATTTTTGTTCGCAACGTCGGATCTCAGGGGTTAACCCATCCTCCCTCCCTCCTTCGCTCTCTCTCCCCCTCCTCATTTCTCCTCGGCTTCCTACTCCGCTTCATCCCCCAGTTTCCCCCCTCCACAGTTTCCTCTTCCCTCCCTCCTCGTGGCGCCCCCAAGGTGTCCCCCCCGGGCGTCATGAGAGGGAGGATGATGATGATGAGGAGGAGGAGGAGGATGAGGAGGGGGAGGAGAAGGATCAGCATGAGGATGAGGATGGGTAGGAAGAGGAGCAGAGGGAGGAGGAATAGGATGCTGATATTTTCTTTAGGTTTGGCCTCTGCAGACAAGGGAGTGGTGCTTTCAATTTCTGTTGTGCTTTCTTCGCTTAGTGTGACTGAGTGTGGCGATCACCGTGACGGCGATCAGGATGATAGTAGGAATGGCGATGGTGCCTAGATGCGACGATGACAATGTAATGCGATGTCCCGTTCATGAAACGCTTGAGCGGGAAACAGGAGGAAGCCGTGGGAGCTTTGATGAACCCGCTGGGAAACGCACCATAAACTGTGTTTTTGAAGAAACCTTAAGTGATTGAATCACCGAATTCGACATTAATTCGGAAGCCCGTCGCACCACGCAATTGCGGATAAGAGTGAGGGGGCGGGCGAGGGGTGGGCCGCGGGGTTGGTCGCAGGTGGGTCGCGGGGTGGGTCACGGGTGGATCGCCGGCGGGTCGCGGGGTGGGTCGCGGGAGTGTCGCGGGGGGTGGGGTGGGCAAGGACGACGACAACTAATCAACAACAACGAGATTAGTCTGCGCCGCGGAGTCCAGGAGGAGGGAGGAGGAGGCGGAGGAGGAGGAGGAGGCGGAGGAGGCGGAGGAGGAGGCGGAGGAGGAGGAAGAGGAGGAGGAGGAGGAGGAGGAGGCGGAGGAGGAGGAGGAGGAGGCGGAGGAGGAGGAGGCGGAGGAGGAGGTACAGCCACGCACCGGGGGACAGCGAATGACCGTTCGGCCCCGTCGCGCTGACGGTGCGCGGGGGCCCGCTCTCGCCTGCCCCGGGGGCCGGCGGTTCCGCCCGCCAGGCCCGCGCGGCTCGTCTTCGGTCCTGCAGGGGCAGCTTGCCTGAAGTCGGGCCTGTCCCGCTACAGGGGGGATGTTCAAAGATAGTCGAGGAGCAGTCAGGGGGCGATTTGTCTGAAAATATGGGTTGACCGTTCTGGGGCATGTTTCGGGTATTTTCGGCTTTTCATCCCAAATCCCTCTGTAGGGGGACAGGCTCGACCTAAAGCTTGCCCTCATCATCTCGCCAATCGTTATCACCAGCAACCGTGAGTCGTTTGTTGATGCGAATTACGTACCGATCATCGCAGCCATCACCATCATTTCCATCATCCTCTTTATCGTTGTCATGATAGCGGCGCCCCGGCCCTCGTCGTCCTCGTTACCGTCGTCCTTTCATTCATCCTCTTCGTCTTTGTGCTCGTCGTCATCGTCCCCGTCATGGCCACGGTTGGCCTGCTCGATGCAGAACGACAACCCTCCGATGCATGCGATCTCTGACTGAGGGCCAAACAGGTTGGAAGCTTCAGCCTTTCCATGTCTGCAGGGGCCCGTTCGGGCCTCTGGACCGTTGAACACGATCCAGAATAAACTCAGGAGGGGAAAAAACACATAGACACAATTGATCGTCGACTCCCGGGAAAATATGGGGAAATATGGGAAGTGCGGGGAAAAGTCAAAAACCCAGAAAATACAGGAAACTATAGGGAACCCTGTTATTTGTGTGTATTGATTTGTGTGTCCCAGGGCCCCGTCATAAACAACGCATCCCTAGGGACGGGGTCGAGAGGTCTGAGCCCCACCGCATGGACAAGCACGTGACGTGGATGTACAAGAAGCACGTGCCCAGCAGCAGATGTACGACTGGCGTTTCGGTTCCAGATCTCGGCATTCCAGGGCCATCCAGGAACGACCGGCAGCCCCGAATTGGAGCCAGGGCCTGAGGTCCAGACATCGGCATCGCCCAGACATGCCTACAGTGAGGCCCCGAGTAGCAGGCCGACACATGCCGAAGCAAGGGCACCCTTGGGTACCCTCGCGTCCTGTGCCTCGCGACCCACGCCTCCTGCGCCCCCCATGGCAACGTGGCCCTCGGATGGGCCCCGTGTCCTCTCGCGCGTCCTGTCCGATCGAGGGCGACCCTGCCGAAGCAAGGGCACCCTTGGGTACCCTCGCGTCCTGTGCCTCGCGACCCATGCCTCCTGCGTCCCCCATGGCAACGTGGCCCTCGGATGGGTCCCGTGTCCTCTCGCGCGTCCTGCCCGATCGAGGCCGACCCTGCCGAAGCAAGGGCACCCTTGGGTACCCTCGCGTCCTGTGTTTCGCGACCCATGCCTCCCGCGTCCCACGTGACAACGTGGCCCTGGGATGGGTCCCGTGTCCCCTCGCGCGTCCTGCCCGATTCGAGGCCGACCCTGCCGAAGCAAGGGCACCCTTGGGTACCCTCGCGTCCTGTGCCTCGCGACCCATGCCTCCTGCGTCCCCCATGGCAACGTGGCCCTGGGGATGGCCCCCGTGTACTCTCGCGCGTCCTGGTCCGATCCGGGGAGACCCTGCCGAAGCAAGGCAACCCTTGGGTACCCTCGCGTCCTGTGCCTCGCGACCCATGCCTCCTGCGTCCCCCTATGGCAACGTGGCCCTCGGATGGGTCCCGTGCCCTCTCGCGCGTCCTGCCCGATCGAGGCCGACCTTGCCGAATCAAGGGCACCCTTGGGTACCCTCGCGTCCTGTGCCTCGCGACCCATGCCTCCTGCGTCCCCCCATGGCAACGTGGCCCTCGGATGGCCCCCGTGTCCTCTCGCGCGTCCTGCCCGATCGAGGCCGACCCTGCCGAAGCAAGGGCACCCTTGGGTACCCTCGCGTCCTGTGCCTCGCGACCCGCGACCCATGCCTCCTGCGTCCCCCATGGCAACGTGGCCCTCGGATGGGTCCCGTGTCCTCTCGCGCGTCCTGCCCGATCGAGGCCGACCCTGCCGAAGCAAGGGCACCCTTGGGTACCCTCGCGTCCTGTGCCTCGCGACCCTTGGGTACCCTCGCGTCCTGTGCCTCGCGACCCATGCCTCCTGCGTCCCCCATGGCAACGTGGCCCTCGGATGGCCCCCGTGTCCTCTCGCGCGTCCCGCCCGATCGAGGCCGACCCTGCCGAAGCAAGGGCACCCTTGGGTACCCTCGCGTCCTGTGCCTCGCGACCCGTGCCTCCCGCGTCCCCCATGGCAACGCGGCCCTCGGATGGGCCCCGTGTCCTCTCGCGCGTCCTGCCCGATCGAGGCCGACCCTGCCGAAGCAAGGGCACCCTTGGGTACCCTCGTCCTGTGCCTCGCGACCCATGCCTCCTGCGTCCCCCATGGCAACGTGGCCCTCGGATGGGCCCCGTGTCCTCTCGCGCGTCCTGCCCGATCGAGGCCGACCCTGCCGAAGCAAGGGCACCCTTGGGTACCCTCGCGTCCTGTGCCTCGCGACCCATGCCTCCCGCGTACCCCATGGCACCGTGGCCCTCGGATGGGCCCCGTGTCCTCTCGCGCGTCCTGCCCGATCGAGACCGACCTTGCCGAAGCAAGGGCACCCTTGGGTACCCTCGCGTCCTGTGGCTCGCGACCCATGCCTCCTGCGCCCCCCATGGCAACGTGGCCCTCGGATGGGCCCCGTGTCCTCTCGCGCGTCCTGCCCGATCGAGGCCGACCCTGCCGAAGCAAGGGCACCCTTGGGTACCCTCGCGTCCTGTGCCTCGCGACCCATGCCTCCTGCGCCCCCCATGGCACCGTGGCCCTCGGATGGGTCCCGTGTCCTCTCGCGCGTCCTGCCCGATCGAGGCCGACCCTGCCGAAGCAAGGGCACCCTTGGGTACCCTCGCGTCCTGTGCCTCGCGACCCATGCCTCCTGCGCCCCCCATGGCACCGTGGCCCTCGGATGGGCCCCGTGTCCTCTCGCGCGTCCTGCCCGATCGAGGCCGACCTTGCCGAAGCAAGGGCACCCTTGTGTACCCTCGCGTCCTGTGCCTCGCGACCCATGCCTCCTGCGCCCATCATGGCACCGTGGCCCTCGGATGGGCCCCGTGTCCTCTCGCGCGTCCTGCCCGATCGAGGCCGACGGTACGTCGTGTGTGCGTGTCGGCCCCCGCGCGGGGCGCGCGTGCCCGCTCGGCATCCGGGGGCACGTGCTCGGTGCCGTGCGCTCTGCGGCCACGCCTGTTCGTGCAACGGTACCGTAGGGGGCGGCAAAGAGGGGGGTGATGACTACGGGGGGTGGATATCATGGCGTGGGCCATGATATTTCCCCAGATTTCATGGCGCCTCTTCTTATCTCATTACGTCCCTGGCGCCCCCCCCCCTGGGCCGCGCACATGCCGCTGGCCATTAGTGGCAACCCCCCCTCTTGGACGCCCCCCTTTTGGCCGCCCCTGAATGCAGTCGTGGCGCTGAAGGAGGAACCCTTTGCGTTGGGGAGGGGCTCCCTGCTCCCCGATTGTTCCACGGCTTGCCTCAGGTTTTCCTCGGGTTTCCGAAGGGAAAATCGGACTTCAACTGATGGGGAAGAGGGGCCTCGTTCCTTATGTAGGGTTCCTCAGGGCAACGTCCCGACGGTACATCTTATGTGATCGTTGTACTTTGTTTTCGGCTTGGACGTGCGCCTCTGAGGAGGGCGCGTGGCACCCAGAGCTCCAGGATCGCACGTCCTGCGACAAGTCGGACAGACACCTCGTCGGAGTTCTGGGCGCACGGGCGGTGGTCTTAAAAGGCCTCGTCGTCGAGGAGTTGAGGGACTGACCTCTCGCGCCTGGTGGAAGCCAGCGGTAGGCCCGCGGAAATGATTTCCATGTTAGTTTGCAGCCCATTGTAGCTCTCGCTGTGGTGGCCTCGCTCGTCTGCTTGAGGAACAAGTGTGACCATTGGGCTCCGCTTGCGCCATCCACTATCTCTTGGTGCAAGCCACTTCTCCCTGCACGCTGACTTGCTCTGCGCAGTCCTTCACCTGTAACGCCTGGTGGCAAGTATAACCGTAGTTGGTGCCCCTTGGTCCACGACGGTGCCTCCACCTCGCTGTGCGTGTGTGTGTGTGTGTGTGTGTGTGCGTGTGCGGAAGCAGTAAGAATAGGGTGGAACCACCGGCGAAGGCCCTCGCAGGTAAATCGGCGGCGTGCCGAGGGGCGCCCAGGGGGGTGTGGGATGGGGCAGGCCTCATCTGAAGGCCGCGGGGAACTCCTCCTCCTCCTCCTCCTCCTCCTCCTCCTCCTCCCCCCTCCTCCTTCCTCCTCCTCCTCCTCCTCCTCCTCCTCCCTCCTCCTCCTCCTCCTCCCCCTCCTCCTCCTCCTCCTCCCCTCCTCCTCCTCCTCCTCCTCCTCCTCCTCCTCCTCCTCCTCCTCCTCCCCCTCTCCCCCTCTTAAACCTTCTGGCCTTCTTCTGAGAGACCGTCTCTGCCTTCGGAGAGCGCCGAGGAAGCTTCTCGAAGGGTCGAAGGCCTTCTGAGCCTTCTGCAGGAAGGCCCGTCGCCCTCAACTTCCACTCCTGGGGCGCGCCGCCTGGCAAGGCCAACCTCCCAGAGGAGGGAGGAAGGAGGAGGGAGGAGGGGGCAGGGGGGGAAGGGGGAGGGGGGTGGGGCAAGCTAGGTGCGCTCGCGTCAGATCTGACTTTCTACCCCTCCCTTCCATCCCTCACCATGGCGTAGATCTACTCTCTATTCGCGCAGTCGGATGTCGAGCAGGGCAATGATCGCGAGAGGGTACGCGATGCATGGCAGAGCACGGCATGGCATGGCGTAGAAGAGCACGACAGAAAGTAGCATGCCACAGCATGGCGTGGCATTTCGCAGTGAAGCATTGCATCACACAGCATTGCAACGCAATGCATGGCGTCGCACAGCGGCGCAGAACACAACACCGCACAGCATGTCATGGCATGGCGCTTGGTTCCTTAGAGGGTACGTGGATCGTCTTCGAGAGGTCTGGGCCGGTTTGGAGTCGTGGCCCCATGTCTAGCTCCTTGCGCTCCCCGAAAAGCTGCACACAAGGCGGGGCTGATGGAGAGCAACCGCTGGCTCTGCTTTCAACATCGCCTTCTCAAAGCAGAAATAGGGCTCCCGCTTGATACTTCCTGAAAGCGACGCCCCAAAGGGGGTGCTTTTGCGGCCCCAAACATCAAATAATCAACACCGAGTGTGTAATCATTTCCGATCTTTTTCCGGCGGGCCATTTTCTAGATTTTGGGGCCTATTTGGAATGAGCGAAAACGCCCGCGGTACAGCGGGAGCACGACTTGGAACAACCAGAGGCGCAGAAATCTCATGGCGCCAACATCGCAGAGCGGATTTCGTTCGGAAAACGAAAGGATCGGCCCGGAGTGTCCTGGAGAATTTCGTTCCAGATTTCGAGGTGAATTTCGTGCGGATTTTTTTGGGCCAGGATTGAGATTAAGACACACCCACGCGAAATTAACTTCGTTTTTCACTCGCCTTTTCGGGTTTTGCGTTGACAGAAATCCGCGCAAACATCCGCTGCAGCACGTCTGCAAGGTCGGTGCAGTGAGAAATGGAGCCAGCGTTTCAGCGGGAGCGACATTTTGAAAACAAGCCACGCGAAAATCCATCTCCCGGGAACCCAGAACAAAAAACACAGTACGCGGGAGGGGGCCGAACATCTTCCTGCCGTCATCAGGGGAGAGAGGAGAGTAGTATTCATATTGTGTAGCTGTGGAGAGAGAAGGGAGGGAGGATGTGGAGGGAGGAGGGAGGAGGGAGGAGGGAGGAGGGAGGAGGAGGAAAAGGAGGAGGGGGAGGAGGTGCTCTGGAGCCTTTCTTTCCTCTTCCGCCGCGGCCGCCGCTCGCCTTCTCGTCGCCCCCCTGTGCTTATTTTTGGGGTCCGCAGCAGTCCTGCTTCTTTCAGGAGGGAAAGAAACACACAGGCACAATTAATCGTCGAATCCCCAGAAAATATGGGAATATATGGGAAGTGGGGGGGAAGACGAAAACCCAGAAAATATGGGAAAATATGGGGAATCCTGTTATTTGTATCTATTTGTTTGTGAGTCCCTGGGCCCCTTCATTCTTTGACCAACGCGCGCGATCGCCGGGCCCGCGAGAAGATGCGTCCTGGAGCCCTGCCAGGTGGAGCCCGCGCAGGGCTGCGCGCCCGAGACGTCTGGAGCCCTGCTGCTCACGTGCGACAGCTGGCACATCAGGTCCAGCCACCCGTCGGCGCCGGCGGTCTTCCGACCGACGGAGGAAGGGCGCAAGGATCAAAGAGCAAAAAACTCTGAGGTGGATAGACCTCCACCCTGACACGTCGATTAGTGAATTGACCGTTTTCGGTTCGCGAGAGGGCGTCGCGGCCGTCATTTTTGCGGGTCCAGGTCCGTCGGCCGTTTTCACTAAGGGGAGGTTTACTAAAGGGAGGTTTGTCCACGGCCGAAAAACGGCATGAACAGAAACTTTTGGCGCTCCACGCGGATTTCTTGGATCCGCGCTGGGGCCCCCCTGGCGGCGTCTCCGGCGCCGTCCCTGGCGCGGATCCAAGAAATCCGCGCAGACCCGCGACAATTTATGTTTGTACCAGTTTTTGCTCTTCTAAAGGAGATCGACGCGATGATGGAGGCAGGTCAGCTGCTCCTCTGCTACGTGCTGGGGGACGCGGGCGCTGGACCCAGGGAGGCGGAAACCCTGAGATCTGGGCGTTGCATGCTTGCGTCCATGTGCCTTCGTTTTTCTGCTGGGCCCCAGATCCATCACAGATCGATCCGTCTCGAAAGATCGTCGAGAGATGCCGTGGAAAGGTGGGGTCTGGAGCTTCGGTCGTCATCTTCCGCGATGTTGCCCTGTTTTCGCAGCGTCGGGGCCCATGGCCGCGCCCCCAGCCACAGCCGCCGCCACCACCAACACCCCTAGTCCAACCTCCGACGACCGACCGTCTGACCGACCGATCAAACAGACCATGTCGGCCGACCGAGCGACTGACCGGCGACGACGACGACGACGACGATGACGACTGCGGCAGCACCAGCAGGCGGGGGCGCCAGCTAGCGGAGGCGTCACCCTCGCCCCGAGACAGGATCCACACCTCCGAGCTCCCCCCCTTTTCCCTTTTCCTGTCAGGAGGGAAATCAATTTTCTCGGATTTGTTTACAGGGATTTTGTTGAGGAGACATTTTGTTTGGCACCATTTTTTCCGACGAGATGTTCGCTGCAATTTTTGCACAAACGCAAGTAAACGCTGATCATGAAGGCCTTACGGCTGGTGCCGCCGACCCTGAAAGGGGACGACGACGACGACGACGGTGGGGGCGGCGGCGGCGACGATGACGATGCTGGAGGGGAGTTTTGGGGGCCTCTTTGGAGCCTCTTGGGGGCCTCTTCGGGCTTCCTGGGGGTCTCTTGTGGGCCTCTTGGGGCCTCTTGGGAACCTCTTGGAGCCTCCTGGGAGCCTCTCGGGGCCGAGGGCTCGAAATGTCCCTTCGGGTTCCCCGTCTGGGCACGCTCTTGGAGCCGTCTCGGCGGCCTCTTAGGAAGTCTTGGAGGCGTTTTGGGCTGTCTTCGGGTCCTCTTGGCCCGTTGTTGAGCCCTCTTGGAGGCCTCTTGGGCCGTCTTGGGGTGATCTTGGATGCCTCTTGGGCCATCTTGGGGCGGCGGGAGGCGGGAAAGGCGAGAACGTCCGAATCCTTCAGAAAGCGATGGGAAATGTATGAATTTTGACTCCTGGGGCCCTCCTGGTGGCTCAAGGTGGCTCAAGGGCTCGAGTGTAAACAGTCGTCGCGAACTGCGGGGTGCGATTCTCGATCTCCGGGTCAATTGACCCTCGCTGCCGAATCTTCATTTTCTTCCTCGCATCCTCCCTGCATTTGATACTTTCTGTGATGTCTTCTTCGGATAACTTTCGCATGCCAGGCAACCTGGTCAAGCAAGCGCTCACGGTGCACAGGATCCACAGCCCAGTTCACGAGATGGGCGGTGACGACAGCCAGAACAATCAAAGTTAATTCCAACGCCCTCCTCCTGCGCCTTTTGGTCTCGGTAATGGTGGAGAAAGAGGAGAAACTTGGACTGCGATCGCCATGGAGGGCACGCGGGAGATGTTTCAAGAACAGCTCAAGCCTCTCAAGGACGGCATCGAGGCCATCAAAAAACACGGTGTGTCGAATCAAACGTTGGAAGACGCAGTCACGCCTCTTAACATGCAATTCAAGCAATTACTTTACGTGTTGCTGCTCAGCATACAGGCGCTTCCCGACCCACATCTGCGAGGGCTGGTTCCGAGGCACTAACAGACACGACTATGCAGAACAAGTTGCACGAAGTAGAATTGCAAATTCAAGATATGAGACAAGTTGGTAACCCTGCGAGTGCTACCAGTGGATCCAAGCGGAATCTTACTGCAGCGATTGGTAAACTTGTTGTTTTTGATTACATGACTTCGTCCACATCGTGGGTGAAAGGTGTCATATCCTCGCTTTCCGCGCCCACTTCTTTGAACATTTACTGTAAAGGAAAGTTTCGGAACATCATCTTTTCGCGGTCTTCGCCTCCGAGGCCGATCGCGATCTCGCAGTCGGTATTTTACGGGGTGCTGCGCCCAACCATGGAGATGCATCAAATTGGTTGCGCCTAGTAGGGTTCCCGCTCACCAGGCTGCTCGAAACGTATGCTTTGGCTTGAAACACGTTCTCAATAACGATTTGAATAACACCAACAAGATCAACATCGCCGCTGCAGAATTTCCTTTTCAAGTTCTGTGGGAGGAGATAATGCAGTTTCCGTGTCCATCCATCGGGCCAAAGTTTCATTGGAATGGGGCCCTGGATTGGAAGTTTGGGAAGAACTTCAGAAACATCCCATCCGCCAAAATTCATCGCTCCTGCAGCGGGCTGCCGAGGGTATGAAGGGCTCGGCGAAGGGAAAAGCAAAAGGCAAGTAGGAAACACGGCCAGACCCTGGAGCCGGCCATGAAGATCCATGTGTGCACTTCTCAACCGCTACCGTCAGCAAAGATGCCACTACTGTCGCTACGAATTTGGGCAAGGCTACCGGCGTGCAGCGACCCGCGTTCGTATCACCTTCCTTGCAACATCCTTTTGCGCCGCGCCCTGTGCTCCTACATCCTCGTACCCGACCATCCCCATGGACCGCGTGGCGGAGGATGTCTTGTCCCATCATTTTTTTCCTCGGGCCTCTCTTGGGGCATGCCCCGGTCTGCCTGCAGGCCCTGCTGCGTCGGCCGCATGGGCGCGTGGAACATCGTAGGCCTACACGGCGACTCCATCATCGATATCGACGAAAATATTGACATCGCGCGCGCATGCGAAATTGAGGTCTCATGCGTTCAAGAGACGCACCTACATGGGGCAAAATATTATACGCGACACGGCTTCCCAATTTTTCGTTCAGCCGAGCTGGACTCGGAAGTCCAGTCGCACGGTGGAGTGGGATTCATGGCGGCTCCGAGAGTCTTGAACAGCATCGTTGCATTCAAAGCGTGTAACTCCAGAGTGGCCTCCCTCAGAATCTAAATCAAACGTGGTATGCTAACGTTGCTTTCCACATGTGCTCCGCGCAACCGTCGTGCACATGAGGGGCGGCGCTCCTTCTCCATGGATCTCCAGGCGCGTATCCGAGCAACCGCTGCGAACAGCGCGACGTACATCATGGGGGACTTGAACGCTAGGCTCTTGCGGGTTGAAGCCCGAGAAGGAGATGTCATTGGCGCTCGCGTGTTTCCGCGCCCGGGCGTCGCGGACAATGCGGCGCAGAATGCAGCTTCGAACAGGGGCCTCTTAGCGGAGTGTTGTGCTTCCTGTGACTTGTTGGTGGCTAACGCGCATCGCAACCATCCAATGGGCATGGCAGTTTTCTGTGAAGATCTGGGCGTCGACCCTTCAGACAATGGCGCGTCTGGGAATGAGTTCGCCCAGATAGACCGCGTGCTCTGTCGCCGCAGTGTTCTACGCGCCTTGCGTGATATCTGGGCGAGCCGGCGGGGCGTGCCTAACGCGCATCGCTACCTCGCCATTGGGTTCAACACTTCTAACGATAGCGCGTGGACCAGGTGAGCCTCCAATATCCTTGGATGAAAGATCGTTTTACCTCATCGCTTGTTGAGGCCAGTGTCAACTCAATGAGTGCTGGGGGCGATTCTGCTGATGTTCTGAACAACTGGCTCCGACATGGATTCGAGTGGGTTTCTAAGATTCCGGCCGCGCGGGAATAGAGTCCTTGGCAGGCGTGGACAAGCAGGCGCGCGCTCGATCTGATCGACCAGAAAAAAGTTGCTCGCGCAGCCGGGTATCGCAATGCAGAACAACAGTTGCACACATCGATCCGGAAATCTGGAGCGCAAGATCGCGCATACTTGTTGGACATGTCATTGATGAGTAGCGAGTGGGAAGCGGTTCGCCATGTGGGGAATTTCCTACTGCAAAGCATGCTGCGGTCAAACGGCCCGATGGAACACTCGCAGATGCAGCTGAACGGCCAGGTGCGTTGGCACTATCTCGACGACGTGCAATTGCACGTCCGGTTTCGAGAGCTCACCCCGCGAGCGCGTGCGCCCATGGGGCAATCGCTGCCGATCGATGCGGATTCATTCGCCATGGGGGAATTGACCGATGCGCTGCGCCGGCTACGTATTGGGAAAGCTGCTGGGCCAGACTGTGCCCCCCCAGACTTCCGGAAGATCTTGGATTCGCGCCGGGACGCTTGTTCTATCGTGCTCCATTAATGTCGGAAATGTTGGGATCAGAAATCAAATCCTGATCCTTGGAGGCACGCGAACGTGGCTCTTGTGTTTACGAAGGAGATGCAGCTCTGCCAGAGGACCACAGGCCCCTATCCCTGTTGCAAGTTGGGCATGGCAATCTTGTTTAACTGCTACATCAACGTCTGATTCGCGGTGGTGCTGAGGCCCGCGCGCGAGAGTCCCAAGTTGGTTCCCGCCCTGGGCGTGGGGCGGCGGACGCACTATTGCTTATCCTTCGCATGGTGGATGCTGCGCGCAACGACAAGCGCGGTGGCTTCATATTGTTGCCGTTGGACTGGGCGAAGGCGTTCGACAGGCTCAAACCGAACAGCATGTGCGACGCCCTGCAACGATTTGGGGTTCCTCCAGATATGGTGAAGATGATCAGTGCTAGTCATGCCGAGCGTTGCCTCACCATTGTAGACCGCGCTGGGAAGTCACAAGAAAGACGACAAGTTGCATTTATCGCTCAAGGGTGCCCTCTTTCTCCTTCTTAGTTCATTGCAGTGCAGTCAGTCGTGCTTCATGATGCGTTTCAGTTTATCGGTTTTGAGGCTGAGCCTACTTACGTAGTAGCACCGAGCATCCTGTCCGCGGACGACGCTTTGCTGGTTTCACACAGTCCGGCTAATATTCGAGACATATTGAGCGCTATCGTCGCGGAAGGGCAGAAATGGTCTTGAGCTGAACTGGGCCCTAACGCTAGAGATGATTACATCGACGAACAGCGCGGTAGTTCGCCCAGGTAGAGTCCTTATAAAAACAGTCCAGGACGCAGTATACCTAGGTGGAATGCTTTTTTGCGATGGCACAGCTTCCCCAGAGGTCACCCGGCGCCTGGGCGAAGCGCAGCGCGTTTTCAATCAGCTCGCGAAGTTGTGGTCACACACAGTAGTGGGGTGGAAAGAAAATGC